ATTACAATTCTGCGAGCTCGGATTTTTAATAAGTTTATTTTAATAAAAATAGGAGTAAACTAAAACTATGAAGATCATAAACTTGTCAGGATTTTTAAAAATATCTTAAAACACAACTGTTCCTTATATATATTTCGGGGGGGTTTAAACTCCCAAAACCTACGATCCTGTGTATAATATATGTTACAATTATACTAATAGTAAAATTATTGATTATAATAATTATTTAATAAAAACTTTCTGGTACTGTTTTTAAATAATCATTAAATTTACTATTGTTATAATTGTAACATATATTATACACAGGAGCATAGGTTTTGGGAGTTTACCCTCCCCCCCGGAATGTAAAAACCAGTATAGAAAATAAATCTTAAAGTAAACCAAAACTGCTACTTCGCCCACAAGCCGAAGTTATCTTAAAAAGTAAGGTTAAAACAGCTTGTTACTTGTCCGATGTCAGATAAAAATGGCTTTACATTCTTCTATAAGAGAAATCAAAATCCTGTCAAAGGTCCTATTAGTTTTACAGTTATATCGAGCTCATTTCTTTTATTTGTTTGTTTCCATAACAACCGCTATTAAATATGGACATACACATTCTGCGAGTTTCGGAGTTAGTGTTATTGTTGATGACAGTACATCACGTATCATGTAATTGTTTAGAGATAAACAAAGTTTTGGTAACAATAGTAAAAGCTACAAGGTTATTTATATTCTATTATCGATATACTCGTATAAAGTGGTTATACCTAGTTAAATGTAAGCGACGAGAGTACATGTACTCTCGCAGGAAGACTGGTATAGAAAAACTAGTTGAGAGTAGAACTAGTTAAGATTAGTCTAGCAAATGCTAATAGATTATAATTAATATGTCAATAATTATTTACAGTATAGATAGGCATTAATACATTGTTATATTTATATCTAATTAATTGCAATTTCTCTAGCAGAGACTCTGCGGCTGGTGGATTTTGGGCACACCCATATCTCATTTATTAGACATGGGACCCAAATCAAATTTATATGAGTTTATAATGACATTATATAGAAGAGTTCTGCGCAAGCAGAATTTAAATTAAAGTTTGCAAAAAAAAGTTAGTTTTTAAGTGTGGCCCCAGCCTCCTGCCCCCTAAATTAAGATAATTCAAATTAAAGTGGTACAATATTTATTTCACTGAAGTTTATCGACAATTTTCAAATTTTATTAAAAAAATTCAAGTATTACAGATTTTATACCATTTAAATTTTTTTTAAATTTAGTAAAAGAAATAATAAAAATTTAAAATGGTATAAAACCTGTAATTCTTAAATTTTTTCAATGAAATTTGAAACTTGTCGATAAACTTCAGTGAATTAAATATTGTACCACTTTAATTTGAATTATCTTAATTTGGGGGGCAGGAGGCTGGGGGGCACACTTAAAAACTAACTTTTTTTCGCAAACTTCAATTTAAAAAATGTCATTATAAACTCATATAAATTTGATGTGGGTCCAATGTCTAATAACTGAGATATGGGTGTGCCCAAAATCCACCAGCCGCCTTATTGTGATAATAGTAACCATTTTTCAGTGATCATGACAATTTTTTAAACATTCACCCGATAAAATATTTAATTTTATTAAGCCATTAATTAACCGACAATCAGCCAATTAATCCACCGACTAAAACCCGATTTAACATGTATTTCGTCCAACTTTTTTCCTTTTCAACCATACACCAGTAAAGGCTTGGTATTCCCAAATGAGTCAGTACCTTCCCATATTAGTACGCGCGCCCGGTTGGCAGCAATGGACGGTGGCGCCGCAAGGAAGTCTAGAGAGTGATCCACGAAGAGATTTTATTGCGGAGTGGGCGCCATCGTCGACGAGGCGCGGCCGACCTTGTGCCACTCACGTACATCAATACGGATTTATGGTACGGGTGTACCATCGTGTGCAACTTTACCATTTCTGTTCTATGCATTCTGAATAGCAATTGTCATCAGGTAGTTTTTTTATAAAGAGTGATTATAATAATGAATATCTGAGTTTCATTTCTTTTCAGATTTAGTTACAAATGTACCTAGACATTGCACAAGCAAAATAATAATCTCCTGTCTTATTGTGGTCTTCAACGCATTCAGTATTCCATAAAGATTTGGTACTTGTTATAAAATTGTCAATTTATTTAAAATATTTTGTCAGCTGATGTTTACAATACGACGGCTCCAAGAAGATACTTTAACTCATTTTTGATGAAACTGTGAACTAGTGTTATAAAAACTAAATATTAGGGTGCTTTTTTCACGACTATTTTTATTTTTTCGCTCCCCACTTAAAATCTTGTTGAAAATGTTCAAAAAAAGTACTCTTCCAAAGCGTATTTTATGCTATTGGATTGTTCCAAAAAGGGATTTACTCATAATCAAAAGTTCTACAAAAAAGCCTTATGTGCCATAGCTGTAATCTGCACCTGTAGGATGGTACGGGTCACTAAATCTAATTTTAGTGAAAAATTCTCATATTTTTAAAGTGACTGGATTCATCGAAAAAATGTAAAGGACAAACTTGTAGAAAATTTAATTTTCTATAAAAAAGGGTTTTTTAAGTTGAATCGATAAAATTGATATTAAATTTTGTTGAGATAGTGAGTGTTGAGAAAGTATTTACATTGACATTTTTTAGGATTTTCGTACCAAATTTTTTATAAATAATGATTTTAATTTGTTTATCAGTATAATTTTATGTAATTACGTTTTTTTCTACAGTCGGATCATTAGAGAAAAATATATAACTAAAACAATCAAGCATACGAGGTGAGTTCAGAAAATATCGGAAATTTTCGTTTTTTGAAACAAATATTTATTTATTCGTCTACATTAATGCATGCAAAACTATGGCCCTTTAAGGTTCTCTTTATTTTTGGGAATAGGAAAAAGTCAGACATGTCTGGCGAATATGGAGGCTGGGGCATCATTACAGTATTGTTTTTGGCCAAAAATTTTGTTCAAAATTTCATACCCAAAACATTCGAAAAAATTTCATGGGATGAGCCAATCGATATACCAACATTATCAGCGACTTCTCTGATGGTTTATAACCATTTCTTCCACTTTTTCCATGTTTTTATCGGTTGTTAATGTCCTTGTGCGTTCGGGGCGTTCGTAATCTTCAACGTCTTCACGGCCATCTTGGAAACCCTTATTCCACTTGTTTTACATATAGCAGACTCACTAAAGGCCTTTGTTAACATTTCACAGAATTTATTTCATTTTTTAAGCAAAATTGGGTACAAATTCTTTGATCCATTTATTTTAACGAACGAAAATCGCCGAGCACGTCTAACCTTAGCGGCTGTCACAGACAAAGTAAACAATGAAAACATACTTCAGGGGCATGTATACCAACATAATAAAGAAAATTTTATAACAACCGGACCCTCCGAAGCCGCGAAATTTAACAATTCCCGTTATTTTCTGAACACACCTCGTAATTATTAATAAAATAACATGTTGTATGAAATACATCTTGTTATATCAATTTTTAGGTTAGATATATCTTTTCTCTTTAAAGTTATGTTATTAATAATTATAATTATAATAAAATTATAATTTATATTATCGGAATTAAAATTAAATGGGAAAATATAAAAAATGTCAAAACGTCAGAGTATGCGATGAACTTCTGATTTCATTGTATGCATGGCACTGAGGAAAAGTAAAAATTATGGTAGATTGCGGTTATGGGGAAATCAGAAACTTTGCACAGATCTAGTAACCCCTTTAATTTTGTGGATTTGATCCCCAACGAATTGTTGAAAAGCCTTGAGACTGGCTACGCCTATTTTTTAAGGGTTTTTTTCCTCAAATTAATATTTAAAAGTTTACTGGTTAGGGTCGTCAGGTGTCCGATACAGCTCTTGAATTTTAATTATTTTCATCTAACCTCCAATTCTAATTTTTAACCATGCCAGAAAAACTAAAAATCAGCCTGAGATATTTTTTTGACAAAATATTCCCAGTAACTTATACTATAAACTAACTTTGTATTCCGGGTTGAATACTATTTTCTTACGGTACAATAGTTTACAACGGCAAAAATGAAGCTCCAATATTTAGTTAAAATATATATGTAACTCAAATTCTTTAAAAAGTGAGTTACCATAACTATAAATTAGGGCACAATTGTATTTCAGTAAACAATAAATAAAAGGTACAATTATTAAAAGTAGAAAGTGAGGTTATATAGTTCTAACAGATATCGAGTTTTATGATTGGTTCAAACAAGGTAATGAATGAACTACTAGCCTATAAAGTGGTTTTCAACTTTCCGATTGGTCTAAATTTGTATGTGCATAGTTCATAATAAATTATTTCAGTGTCTAGTGTTGATAACAATAAATAATTTATAGACCGATTAAAGATATTAACTAATGTAATTACAAGAATGTGTAACCGCAACTTTTCTCCAAAAAATGATTGTGATAGTTTAGGTCATTTTAATTATAAATATTCAAGTTATAAAGCATAAGCCGAAAGAGTCCACTCAAACACTTCTTTTTAAACAATTTCCTCTATCGCCTGGTATAGCATTTTAGTATTTATAATTATATTCAAAATGAATATGGGGATTATCTAACATTATACTTGCACGCACATCGCATATTTCTGCGTAGGTCATATAGAACATGCAAGTCATATTTTAATTAAGATATTAATACCTAACATATTTAAAAGTCTAAAACTACATGTTATCTAATAAATCTTGCTATTGTATTTCATTGTTTGGAAAGCAGTAATGCCAACTGTAGCAACCTGTCACTAAGAGTGGGGTTAGGTTTTAGGGCGGCTCACATGGGAATAACCATTTTTGTTGCAGGTTAAAGGGTAAGAGAAAATAACTTATTGTTGTTGATTCAATAACGATCACTAATATGATTAAAAATAAAAACCAAATATGTCACATTTTTTTATTAATAATCACTAAAAAACAATAATTTAGTATCACAAACTATTTCACAATGATTATAATATCCATAAATGTGTGGGTGAGCACTTGGAGCACCTGGGGGATGAGGTGGTGCACGCGAGTTGCTGAAGACGACGTCCAAGAGCTGAAGGTGGTGGACGCGACGCGACCGACGCCAGAATGGGCCATCACCAACACCCTTCTCAATTTTATAGACGGTGTCTGGTTCAAAGAGGGGGCAAAATACTTTTTATTCCATCCACAGCGGAGTCAGTCTCTCATCTGCAAGTCGAATAACACACCTAATTATCAAGTTAATATGGCTATTCTGTATGGACGGTGGAAAGAGGCTTAGATTTGGTTGCCGCCGCCGCCACCAGCTGAACGGAGACAACGCTACCGCTTTGGGCAGCAGGCCAGAAAAGGATCGACTCCACATTGATATTATAAGTAAGTTCAATAGCTGTATTCATTTGTAAACTAAGCCCGGTATATATTCAGAGAGAGGGTGGAACTCATACATGTTTCATACAATTTAAAGTACCCCGCCGTCCGCGCCCGAATAAGGCCGTGGCTGCGGCATGCCTGGATGAAGAGGATTTCCTTCGAATTCCTAATGCCGAATCATAACTAAACAGCCCAGAAGATGACCAACCACAAATACAACATACATGAGTATCATACGTGAGTGTCACTTTATATAGATATAAGTTTGGCAATGGAAACACAACCCATCATCCATCCCTTCTCCAACACTGGAAAAGAGGAGAGTATGCTGAATATGCAATGATTCTCTGTGCTAAGAAATAGCCCGCTGGAAGAATGCATAATTCAACATGGAAATTAGAAATAAATTAAATATTAAAATTATGGCAAAGAAAAAGAGCCTTATTGATTATGTATGCAGCGAGGAAAAATTAAACCTCTAATGAAGAAAAACGCCTTTTGGGAGGCACGCGAAAGAAATTACACTCTGCGCCTTAAATTACGGTCCTTATGCTCGCCAAGGACTTTCCCGCTCCCTTCCTACTCCAAACAATATACAACCAACAACCAGGTGCCCGACTGCCAGCGTGCTCCAGATTTGCTTACTCAAAACTTCCCAAACTAACTTTCAACGTTTAAAACGCTTCAATCTTTCAACAATACTTTTACGTTTATTAAGAAAGCACCTAATTTCTAATAAAATATTATCTTATTTTATGTTATATCGGTACACCGCGGCGTTAATTTCATTCAGCCTGAAAACTTTCTCAAAAGTTTACAGTATACTTTTTAAATTTGCATATATAATTCCATAACTTCCAAATGAGTTTCTAAACATTTTTTTATAATATCAAATTAATTAAAGGAAATTTATTAGCTGTTGCTTTTTAAAAACAGATGGGGCTTTAATTAAAAAGCTTTCAACCTAAAAATCCTGTATTTTTTACTTTTATAAAAATTAAATAGACTTTTAACGAGGAGATTGATTTTTTCGTTTTAATATACAAGGTGTGTTAAAAAAATATGCTGAATAATTTTATTACGAACAAAATTATAAGTTTACATTAACTTAAAATTACCTAATCTCCTTCTTGGCTAGCGATGCACTCATCCCAAAGGGCCTCCAGCTGCTACGTGTCCCGCTCAATGTCGGGAACGGTATCAAAACATTTTCCTCTAAGCACGTTTTTTTTTTGGACTTGCCATAATATGTATATATCTCCAGCTTAACCTCAACATATTATGTTGAGGTTAAGCTGGAGATTTGGTTCTACCAACTGCAAAATAAATCCCTAAATAGTATTCGACAATATTCTCAAAATGTTGGCACTCCCTCTATATATATTTTTTATCCACTACGTCCGGAGTACCATAAGCCTCTCTTTCAGTAATGGATTTGGTCTGCGCCGATGTGGCTCTTTTAACCAGTCTCCAATAGATACACGTGGAATTTTAAACCTTGAAACATCCACTAAATCGATTGCACAAATCACAAAATACCTCGCTGACAGGTTAAAGCTTGTGATATTGTTGAGAAATACCGGTATATATATATATACCGGGAACCCCATTTTATCCTTCCTGAGTCAAAGTCAACTATTTTGAGACGTTTTCATGGAGCGATGTACAGCACTTGAAGGATAAAATCGAACTCCCAAAAGATGTTTTCTCGCAATTGTCCTCGTGCGAGAGAATGGCATTTGTTATAAAAATCATCCAATCTTGTGTAATTATCCATTGAAACCGATTTGGTCAATAATATAGACTTTAAAGACATTATAGAAGATTTTGCGCAGCTCAAGGGAGAAAAATAAAATTGTAAAAAAGGTATGTGATAAATTTTGGTATTGGGTTAATTTTAGCAAGCTTTAAGGGTTAAGGGTGTTATTAATTGTTTCGACCTTTGCTTGATGAAACTTCATAATAACTATGTAAATATAAAAACAACTACGTTTTTAAAGGTTCACGTAATTTATTAAATGTTGACAATTGTTTCGCTACATAGTACCTTCTTCAGAATGTAACACAAGAGCACTTAAGAAGCTAGCACGGGAGTATAATAAAGCAGATTAAAGTATTAGCTGTAAAAGTACTTACAAGCAAATAGTCTTAAGAAATTTGGTTTAAACTGATTCCATAAAACAAACTTTGGCCTTAAGGATGTCTTAAGTAAATATGGTTTTATGAGGCTATAAATGACATCCCATAATAAAGCCAAATTAAAACTAATATGGTTCTAAGAACAATTAACCTTTGTGATAACTCCCATAAACCCAAACATCTTTTCAAAGAGTGTGATAAAGCTTTGCACTGTTCAAAATTTCATGACCATTTTAACACCAAATTAACACCATACATGGTCTATATCGATACAAACCAAAATGGTGTTAAATATGGTTCGTTGGTCCAGTGTAAATTCAAATACTAAAATGGTGTAAATTTAACTTTCACACAGTATTAAAATAAATTTTACCTGGAGTAAATTGAACTCCTTTTCAGTGTTAAATATTATGTGTTTTTGGTCAAATTAAATCACACTACACAGAAAAAAAGGAAAAAAAAAGGAAACAGGAAGTTACTTGATGCATTACAAGTATATTACTCCAGAAAATTGAACCTTCAACTCGCTAGAGATAATGTTTTTAGTGCGTTCCACCAACTTAAAATACTTCAAGTATTGACAGCTGTTTCCACCTATTTAAGGTCTCTTTAGTATCGAACAACTTGTAGTGTCACACCAAAGCAAAGGACTACCTGAGCTTATATACTGTTTGTGTAAGTCAACAGAGGCGAGATTTAAGAACATCACGTGATCCACACCGCCTTTGCCGCGATCGGTACACTCTATGCACCCAGGAATGCACAGCAAATTGTTTTAACCGTTTTAACAGAGTGCTTTAGGTTGAAGTAACTTTTATTTTACAAACAACATATTTAGTAAACTGAACCATACACCGGGTTGGTTTCACTTAAGTTTTTTGGGTTAATTTTACCAATTTAAAAAAAATAAAATAACTATTTGCTTTAGAACCGTCCAACTAATCTTTGTTTATAAAGCTTTCCACAGTTGATTTAAATAACGACTTATGGGTCAACTAAATTAATATATATATATATAACTATAGTTAAATGAACTATTCCTTTTTTCTGTGTAGGTGCACTTCTCAAATATTTTTAGATAAACACCGTTTTGGTATTTGCTGTATACAGCAGTCACACATGTGACTCTTGGCTTTTACCTAAATATTATACCACACTGTTTAAAATATCTGTGGTCTAAAGAGTAATCTTAAAATGTTGTCAAAATCCAACACTAAGTGGTGTTAATATAAACACCATGAATTATGGTTGAAAATTCTATATATATATAGCATTTTCAACCATAATTCATGGTGTTTATATTAACACCACTTAGTGTTGGATTTTGACAACATTTTAAGATTACTCTTTAGACCACAGATATTTTAAACAGTGTGGTATAATATTTAGGTAAAAGCCAAGAGTCACATGTGTTACTTGGGTTAGCATGATCAAAGAATGGAAACGCTGAAAGTGCAAAAACATCCACCACAATAAGTTATGATTTCTTTAAATCATCCCCAACGTGAAACTTTATAAATAAATAAAGTATAATATGTTCTTTCCACCATAGGTAGTCTAAAATATTTGACACTTAAGACCTACATAAATAACTCAAAACTGGGTGACTATACTTCGAGATGACAGAAAATTTCTTGAATGTGTGATGTGCAAATCCGACTTTTTATCATTTTTATAATAAAAAATAATGTATTAAAATATGCTCTTGAGATATACTTTTGGATGAGTTGTAATATCGAGGATATTATCCAGGATTTCGCTTGTGCTCTATCAAACAGCGGGACGCGCCATATAAGCAAACATAAATGACTCCTAGGGCGACATTTCAAAAGAAAAATGTTATGTGCTACAATTCCGAGTGAAACCTTATTTTGTTATGCACAACTTAATAATAAAAATTTAATTTATAATTTGCTAATAATAAATTTTATCAGGCCTATTACTTTATAGAAAGAATACAGCTTTTGTTTGAAGCAAAAAAGTTAATTTTTATTAATATTTTAATTTAACATATTATTGCAGCGCCCTCTATTGAAAAAGTAAAAAAAAATACCGCCTAGGTATTAGTGATTATTTTTGTTAGGCTAGTCGTGGAAACACCTAGTTTCTCGCTCCTCTGGATTCAACTTTACCATAGACAGTAAAAAAATATTTGTTAATTTTAACCAAATATGTTAATTATTATGTTAATTCAGGTCCACATAACTTTATGTTAAGTTTATAATCAACTCTAATCTGTTAACTAATTAAATAAGTAGTTGGTAATTATAACAAACATTTCGTAGATTTAATAACAAAATCCTATGTCAATAATTCAACCATAATTCTTGTAATTTTTAAAGAGGATATTATCTTTACAAACCTTTTTGTAGACCCAGTAACAAAAGTATTTGATTAAAATTTGGACCTTAAAAGAACTGTTTCTTTATTAATCAATTTCCTAAACAAAAAAATTAACACATAACACCATTATGAAATCATCAAGTTATAAAGAAATTTGGTACAATATAATTATCAGTTCTACTACAACGCTTACTGATTTATTTCGTAACTTTAACCAACTTCACTATATCCCCTGGTTTCAGTAAGAAAACCAGTGATGGCATCTTTTTTCGGATACTTAAGCGAATTCGCACTTCGAACACTTGTTAAATAGGTATAAGGAATCCGAATAACAATAATAGATTTCTAGTAAACACACTGGACAGTTGTTACGAACACGTTACGAATTAAAATAAGTAAGCAGAAACATAAGTTGCAGACGCTGAA